GACATTTATAAGGTCTAAGGATACCCCGACAATCTTATACGTGTGAGGGACAACACACACGGTTTTTAATGCAACAAATCACAAGAGTAAAACCGTGACTGTTAATCCGAACCGCTCACAGTCTATCAACCCTACTACCAAACAACACCTCACTCCCATTCAGCCATTTGAAAATTAATCATCTCTGTCAACACAACACTAATAGCTCCTCACCACTACATTCAACACTACTACATGCATACACGCCTGCACACAACCACCGCGAAACCATAATACACCAGATACTAACACCAATCTCAACAATAATAAGTGCATCCCAATGGTTCAAGATCTGGTAATCGTAGTATTGTTCGTCACACCCGACAAATCCTTTAAGTTTCAGAGACCCAGCTGTCTACCCATATACGAGTAGAACACTACAAGTATGGTCCATAAGCATACATCTGTTACCAGGTGCACACAAACGGGCATAGATGCAGTTCCATGGTTCCGTTTGATATCCGGAGTACCACGATTGCCAGATCTTGAACCAGTGGGGCGGATACAGTCCTGCCTCTGGTTAGGTATTTGCTACTACATTATCGCCTGACTGTTCGGGCTAACGAGTCACTCATATAGGCATCATAGCTTATCAATGATCCTATGATTGCCTGTTCGCACAGCCACGATATTGCCTTCTTGGTCAATCCCATTTCACTCAGGCCTTTTTCCGACCGCCCTTCCATTATTCCACGCATAGTAATAGCTATCGGTAGATGCTGGACCGATGCTTTCTGAAGGTTACACACCTGTCTGAAATTTTCATTTAACTCGTCAGTATTATACTTACGTATCTTCGAGTTCCACGATTCTGACAATCTGTTATCGTTGCATATTATCACATCTAAAACATAAATCTTACCTTTTCCACTTACCAACAGGTCCGGTTTCACGTAACCCTTACCTTTACAGATGTACGGCTCCCGTATAACTGAGAGGCCCGCCCGCCTCAGGGAATCCACCAGCTTCAGCATCACTCGATTGTGCCGAGCAATACGCAGTTTTTGGGTGAGTTTGCATTCCTGGAGGATATGCATCAAAGACTCTGTTTTCCTGCACCCGCCGTTACACCAAAGATCACCGCAGGATCTTCCGCCCCGTGATGCTCTTACCTTCGTCTTCAGGATGTGGCCTCGTAGTTTTACGGCCTTACGATACGTCCAAGGAAACATCCCTTCCGGGGACGTGACCCATAGGTGTGAACATGTGCTCAGATCGGAGACTTTAAGGCCACCGCCATCTACGGTGCCGTACATTCTCATTTTTAACGCCTCATAGAAGTGATCAGACTTTGAAATTACCTGTCCGTTTAGAGTCATGATCCCAGTAGACTTGCACTCAAGTAATCGATAGGCCTCCGACTGCCGGATAGCCTGCAACAGTGAACAGTTTCGGGCGTTTAACTGTCTTAGTCGTTGTGACCGTCTGATTACGGCCAACGGATACAGGGGGTCAATTCCAATTCCCCCAGCGCTCACTCGTGCATGTAAGAAACAATTAGTTGTGTCGTGTGGTAGCCCCAACCACTGACGAACACGTTTGCGGATTGAGACATCAGCTTTTTGTAACTCGCTTTTACCAATTGCTCCAACTTGGCATACATACTGGAGCTTCGGTATAGTGTACTGTTTCAGGATCGTCAATCGCTGAACTGGTGTTAGCGGCGCATTAGTGGTCTCGCTCGGGAGACTTCCTGTCATAGTCCTTATTGGCTGCTGTGTGATGCCAGAGTGATTGAACCATATGCCAAGATATTTGAATTTGTCAGTGACGTTTATGGGGTCTAAGGATACCCCGCCAATCTTATACGTGTGAGGGACAACACACACGGTTTTTAATTTCCCATTCGCAGCGACGGTTAGGCTGCGCGATTTCTGCACGTTTGTACTTAAGTCAGCTTGCTACAGTCCTGAGGATAGCATGTCAAGCTTAAGTATTAACGTGCAGAAATCGCGCAGCCTAACCGTCGCTGCGAATGGGAAATTAAAAACCGTGTGTGTTGTCCCTCACACGTATAAGATTGGCGGGGTATCCTTAGACCCCATAAACGTCACTGACAAATTCAAATATCTTGGCATATGGTTCAATCACTCTGGCATCACACAGCAGCCAATAAGGACTATGACAGGAAGTCTCCCGAGCGAGACCACTAATGCGCCGCTAACACCAGTTCAGCGATTGACGATCCTGAAACAGTACACTATACCGAAGCTCCAGTATGTATGCCAAGTTGGAGCAATTGGTAAAAGCGAGTTACAAAAAGCTGATGTCTCAATCCGCAAACGTGTTCGTCAGTGGTTGGGGCTACCACACGACACAACTAATTGTTTCTTACATGCACGAGTGAGCGCTGGGGGAATTGGAATTGACCCCCTGTATCCGTTGGCCGTAATCAGACGGTCACAACGACTAAGACAGTTAAACGCCCGAAACTGTTCACTGTTGCAGGCTATCCGGCAGTCGGAGGCCTATCGATTACTTGAGTGCAAGTCTACTGGGATCATGACTCTAAACGGACAGGTAATTTCAAAGTCTGATCACTTCTATGAGGCGTTAAAAATGAGAATGTACGGCACCGTAGATGGCGGTGGCCTTAAAGTCTCCGATCTGAGCACATGTTCACACCTATGGGTCACGTCCCCGGAAGGGATGTTTCCTTGGACGTATCGTAAGGCCGTAAAACTACGAGGCCACATCCTGAAGACGAAGGTAAGAGCATCACGGGGCGGAAGATCCTGCGGTGATCTTTGGTGTAACGGCGGGTGCAGGAAAACAGAGTCTTTGATGCATATCCTCCAGGAATGCAAACTCACCCAAAAACTGCGTATTGCTCGGCACAATCGAGTGATGCTGAAGCTGGTGGATTCCCTGAGGCGGGCGGGCCTCTCAGTTATACGGGAGCCGTACATCTGTAAAGGTAAGGGTTACGTGAAACCGGACCTGTTGGTAAGTGGAAAAGGTAAGATTTATGTTTTAGATGTGATAATATGCAACGATAACAGATTGTCAGAATCGTGGAACTCGAAGATACGTAAGTATAATACTGACGAGTTAAATGAAAATTTCAGACAGGTGTGTAACCTTCAGAAAGCATCGGTCCAGCATCTACCGATAGCTATTACTATGCGTGGAATAATGGAAGGGCGGTCGGAAAAAGGCCTGAGTGAAATGGGATTGACCAAGAAGGCAATATCGTGGCTGTGCGAACAGGCAATCATAGGATCATTGATAAGCTATGATGCCTATATGAGTGACTCGTTAGCCCGAACAGTCAGGCGATAATGTAGTAGCAAATACCTAACCAGAGGCAGGACTGTATCCGCCCCACTGGTTCAAGATCTGGCAATCGTGGTACTCCGGATATCAAACGGAACCATGGAACTGCATCTATGCCCGTTTGTGTGCACCTGGTAACAGATGTATGCTTATGGACCATACTTGTAGTGTTCTATTCCTATATGGGTAGACAGCTGGGTCTCTGAAACTTAAAGGATTTGACGGATGTAACAAACAATGCTTCGAGGAGCACTGCATGTCGATTCTAGAGCTAATACATGCCTTGAGTACCGGAACCGCAAGGGAACGGGCGCACTTATTAGATACTCTGGAGAAAGTGGTGTTCGGTCTTCTGGAACGTGTTAGCTGCAGTGAAAAAGCCCGGAAACCGCATAAACTCTAACCAGAGGCAGGACTGTATCCGCCTCACTGGTTCGAAGTTGGCATGCACCTGGCTCCGTGCTGGGCTGTATGCGCCCTGTCTTGTAGTTATTACTCTAAGTACAGCGGTGTGATAGCTGAAAAGTCGTCGAGGCCTTCGGGTCTCTAGTGGGGCAGTTGTGCGCCGAAGAAGGTACCTGGCATAGCAATATGTAGCGGGTGCGCGCGGCCACACATGACTTCTACCCATCTTGCATTGGTTCGCGAGGGCTAATGTGGTGGTGGAGCCCCGCCTCGGTTGATGTGTCTCGTTGACCTGGGTTCGTGGAGTCTTCCTGCTGGGAACATGTGCGCTCTAGCGGAACCTACCGTATCCGGAACTGATCCTTTGGCTTCATGTGGGCTGTAGAGAGGCCCGGTCATCCGGTAAAGACTGCAAGGACTAGTGAAGCTGGCGGCGACTGCTGCTGGTTAGTGCATGGTCTCGGTAGCTCGGTAACTCAGATGGGACACCCGGGACTTGCCGGTCAATGTCCGCCTTGCTGCCTTGGACGAGGGGGTTAGTGGGTTGTGGTTTGGATGGATGGGATTGAGTTGATTCATAAGGTGCCTATCTGAGGGTGCCTCGACATGTGATCACTGATTGGATGTCCGGCGATCAGGCAGAACAATCAAGTCAACTTGTGTGTCCCGAAAGGGGTAGTGGAAGTGCAGGTGGCCCCTGTGCAACCTCTAAGTGCTGCGTAAGTAGTACACATGCGAGAGCAGCTTGAGTAGCTGGTTAACACTCAAATAGCCAAATGCCTCGTCATCTAATTAGTGACGCGCATGAATGGATTAACGAGATTCCCACTGTCCCTATCTACTATCTAGCGAAACCACAGCCAAGGGAACGGGCTTGGCAGAATTAGCGGGGAAAGAAGACCCTGTTGAGCTTGACTCTAGTCCGACTTTGTGAGGAAACATGATGGATGTAGCATAGGTGGGAGCTGGGTGCTTCGGTGTCCAGCGCTAATGAAATACCACTGCTATCATTGTTTCTTTACTTATTCAGTGAAACGGGAACGAAATTGTATTTTGGTTCAAAGCACATTCCGGGGTGCGTGGTCTATCGCTGCGTGCTTCGGTATCTTGGTCATGTCAGATGAGTCGTGGTGCAAATTGCGGTGTTTGAGTCCTGATGTGATGTGCGACCCGTTTTGAAGACCATGTCAAGCGAGGAGTTTGACTGGGGCGGTACATCCGTCAAATGGTAACGCGCGTGTCCTATGGTGAACTCAGTCAGGACAGAAACATGGCGTAGAGTAAAAGGGCAAAAGCTTACTTGATTTTGATTTTCAGTACGAATACAGACTCTCTTAAGGTGCCCTAGTGCCCTCTCAACTAACTAATTAATGACCTCACCTTTCAAGGTCCGTCATCGGAGTGGGAAATACTATGACTCCCTTAAAGCAACCAAATACCCCTTCATCTAGTTGGCGAGAGCAACTATACGTCCCTATCTTTTACGGTACCTATGGAAGTCATGGTTGCAGGGTAACTACCTCTTCGTGGTTCCCGCTAGTAACGTGGCGGTATTTCTGCTACGGCTAAATGTTACCCCTGAGAGCTGGCTGAACGCCTTTAGGCCTGCTCTCAGTATGGCATGCACCTGGCCTTGTGCTGGACTGCATGTACCCTGGCTTGGTGGTTATTACACTAAGCTCCAGTGGTTAATATTTTCCTTGACCGGGGTACCTAGCCTGTCGTATGCCTTGATGGTGTTCTCGTAACTTTCGGGTTGCCTGATCTGCCAAGGGCGACGGGACAGTGCATGATCCTATTTTTGTGTGCTAGGTTCAAAGAGAATTGTATGCTATATGCATGCAATTCCGCCTCGTTATTGTTCCTATTTCAAACCTCTTACATTATCGAGGCAAAACCCGACTCACACGACCACATCGTGCCTCCCGGTTGATGAGACGTATGTCCCATGAACCAACGTGAGCGGTACCGGGTGGTGGAGATCGGGCTAATCACCCACTCTACCTATACCCACCCACTGATTACGAATCCTACAATGAAAAAATGCATCTCTACCCATGGTTCAAAAAAAGACCAAAAAAATCTCAAAAACTCTCAAAAACTAAAATTTGGCTTATGGAACGTCCGAGGTTGCTCACAAGAAAGCAAATTACATCAGATTGCGAGTCAAATAACTGAACGACAGTACCACCTAGCAGTGATTACCGAGACCAGAATGCCCAGCAAGATATTAGAAATGGATGAACACACAACCCTACTCAACTGCAATCCAGATACAAGCGACTACAAAAACACTGGTGTTGCCTTCATCGTCAACAATCACACAAACATTACAACATCGCACTTCAATGAAATAAACAGCAGAATTGCAACGATAATCGTCCACTCCAAGTCAATGAACCAATCCTTCAATGTTATTGGATGCTATTCTCCTACAGAAGCCTCAGATGATGACAACCAAAAAGACAACTTCTACCTCTCATTAAAACAAACAATCATGAACATCAAGCAAAACAAGCTACCGATAATATTAATGGGAGATTTCAACTGCAGACTGAGCCAAGAACTACACACGATGTACCCTCACATAATTGGCAAAGCAATAAAATTAGAAAAAGATACTTCACCAAATGGCATCAGATTAATCAACCTCTGCCAGTCAACGAAACTAAAAATCATGAACACCTTCATACAAAAATCACATAACAAATCGATCACGTGGATGCACCCTAACACAAATGATGCTCACACCATTGACCTAATTCTCTCAGATAATAAACCTAATTCAAACATCACAATATGCGACGTACACAACTCACGTTCAATGGAAGCCAACTCAGATCATTTCATGCTCACCACAATAATCAAACTCCAACTTAAAAAATCAAAAAAGAAACACAAACACACGCACAAAACATGCACACAAAATAACTCACGAAATGCCATTCACTCCTTGTCCTCGGAATACCCAACAATACTAACAAATCTAATAAATGAGACAAATGACCTGACACAAATAGAAAAATCCATCATATGTGCTGCAACATTAGCTGCAAACCCTCGAAAGTCAACAATAAAAAGATGGCAAACACAAATCAGCGAGGACCTAAAAGAGGAGCTCAAACACAGAAAACAGCTAAGACTCCAATGGCTAAACAATCCAACCACCGAAAACAGAGACAAATATAACCAAGCAAACAAACAAGTAAAACATAAAATAAAAACAACCAAAGAAGAATAAATTCAAAAGAAAACCGAGGAACTGAATACCTTCTTTGAACAAAATGATCTTCACTCCGCATATAAAATGCTTGACGATATATTAGCTACAATAAGAAACCAAACATACAAACAGCGCAGAAACCAAATAAACAACAAAACACTTCAACAACACTACCAAAGCCTATTCCAATCAACAACCACAGCAAACCTAGAATCCTTGAATGTGAATCAATTCAATGAACCTCTCTTAACAAAACCTGAACTAGACATAGTTATCAAAAATCTCAAAAACAACAAAACTCCCGGCAACAACGGCATAACCAACGAGATGATCAAACAGGGCGGAGAGAAACTACAATACATCCTACTAAACATCATGAACAAATTTTGGACAAACCCAAACGAAATCCCAAACCACTGGTTGAATGCTAATGCCATAGGCATATACAAAAACAAAGGATTGAAATCTGGTCCAAACAACTACAGAAGCATCTTTCTACTAGACACACTAAGCAAAATATTCTCTGGAATGATTTGTAACAGACTGGTGCAACAAACAGATAATCGAATTCCACCAACGCAATTTGGCTTCAGAAAACACTTAACTACCAGTCATGCAATAACTACAATCAGACATATAATCCAATGCGCTCTTGATTCAAAGAAAACGCTAATCATCATCTTCGTAGACCTCACGAAAGCCTTCGACACCATACCAAAATCACTAATTCAGAACGCACTTGCAAAAACATGCCATTCTCGAAACATAAACTTATGCATCAATAAACTATTGGATAATCCAAAAGGCTTCCTAGCAAAGACAAAACTAAACTTCACCATGTACAGAGGAGTAAAGCAAGGAAGCAAAGAGGGCCCAACCCTATTTAATCTCGTCTTCAAACAAATTCTGGAACAAACAATCGACCACACTTTAAAAGGGGTTGAACTGCTTAATGAGAACAATGAACCCTGGACAATCAAACACCTAGAATATGCCGATGATCTATGCATACTAGCCAATGACACTGATGAAGCAATCAAATCATTAAACTCCCTACAAAAATACCTTCGAATGCTAAACATGGAAATCTCCACATCAAAAACAAAATAGATGATAATAAACAAACATGATAACCCAACTCCAATAACCATTGAAAATAAACAAATTGAAGAAGTCACTAACTTTCTCTATCTCGGCTCAATACTAAATCACAAAGGATCAGCAGATGATACAATCACACACAACATAGCCAAATCAAAGAATGCTCTAATCAAAATATCACCCATCTTAAAAAGCAAAAAGCTCAACCTATCAACAAAAACAAAACTAATCAACACACTAATAATTCCTCATCTCACATACAGCCTAGAATCCATAGTCTTAAGGAAAAAAGACTGGTCCAGACTAGAAGCCGTCCTCAATACGACACGACGCATAATCCTAAACATTAAAGACAGAAAGGAACTCAACATCGAACAACTACATGAAAAAATACATCTTCCTAACATTGCGACAAAAATAATGCAGAACCGACTCAACCTATGGTATACAGCAAAGAAAAGGTCAGATAACATAATGATCAAAACACTAACAAGTCACATAGAAAACCCTTTCAAACACCGCAATGCACATACAAAAAACTGGATTAGACAGTTAACCCAAGACATTAATGAAATGAAAGACAATCTTCCCACAAACTGGAAGAAGCATCCAACAAAAGTAAAAATTGCACCCACAAACACACATCAACCCAAAGTAATCGGTCAAAGACAACTAACACACCCATGCAAGAACATAAACTGCTACCGAATGTTCGCCACAAAGAAGGAAATGAATCGACACTTTAGAAATGATCACAATACTGTTAATCCAAATCTCATTACAACAACAAAACTACACTGCCCAATAACAGACTGCAACAAAACATACAAAACAATCGGATGGCTAAATAGACACATCATATCATGTCATCCCCAATACTCTCAACATGAAACAAAAAATAACAACAATACACAAACCAAAACAAAAACACACACATGTGAAACTAATAACACACAACAATGCCCATACCCAGGATGCAACAAAATTCTACCAACGGCAAAAGGCATCATAAATAAATGCTATGTCGTACACAGATGGTCAGCAATCACCGGAACAGAAGTAAAGCCAAAGAAAAAACAGACAGCTAAAACAGCTATTGAGCCCCGGTAGTTGTGCCTTGCTTCATTGTAGCCTCTCCAGAAGGGCCAACAGGCTTCACCAAAAAGTTTGGCTGGAAGGGGCACCACAGGGATGGTAGGCAAAATCCGACTCACACGTCCGCGTCGTGCCTCCTGGATAGTGGGACGAATGTCTCATGAACCAACGTGAGCGGTAACCCGGGTGGTGGAGATCGGGCTAATCACCCACTCTACCTATACCCACCAACCGATTACGAACTCCACAGATAAACACAGCACAACTACACTTGGAATGAAAAAAGACAAAAAATCTTCTCGAAAGTGGTGCATGTATCAAACGGAGTTGCTCATCATTGGGCAAACTCTAAAAGTTTGCAGAAACAACCATAACAGTCCTGGTAGTCGCGTCGTAACTCAATGTAACCCACAGAGAGAAACGGCACGATTACGTTTAAATTGGAAAGTGATAAAATTCTTGAAAGTGGTGCATGTACCATTTGGAGTTGCTCATCACTGGGCTAACTCCAAAGGATTGCAGAAACAAATATTCTAGCCCCGGTAGTTGTGCCGTGCTTTGATGTGGCCTGTTCCACTCCAGAAGGGCCTACTAGGCTTCACCAACTAGTTTGGCTGGAAGGGGCACCACAGGGATGGGAGGCAAAATCCGACTCACACGTCCGCGTCGTGCCTCCTGGATAGTGGGACGAATGTCTCATGAACCAACGTGAGCGGTAACCTGGGTGGTGGAGATCGGGCTAATCACCCACTCTACCTATACCCACACCTGATTACGAAAGCTACAAAGAATCATTGCACAATTATAACTGGAGTAAAAAAAGACAAAAAAAAATGCCCAAAATTACCAAAAACTTAAAATTGGTTTATGGAATGTCCGGGGTTGTTCACAAGAGAGCAAACTCCAAGTGATAGCAGAGCAAATAACTGAACGTATGTACCACATAGCAGTGATCACGGAAACTAGAATGACCTCTAAAATTATTGACATGGATAACAACGGCTTAAGCTTTTATAACTCTAACCCAGACATTAATGACTACCGAAATACTGGTGTTGGTTTTCTGGTAAACGACCAATCCATGATAACTGCCACCGATTTTGAAGAGGTAGATGGCAGAATAGCTACCATTAAAATACACAGTAAAGCTACCAAGCAGACCATTAACCTTATCGGTTGCTACGCCCCAACCGAGTCTTCTAATGATGAAGTTAGTAAAGAAAAATTCTATCTTAAGCTAAAAGACACAATTAAAAAGCTTAAACTAAATAAACTTCCTATACTCATCCTGGGAGACTATAATCGCAGGCTAAGCAAGGACCTTCATACTTACTACCCTTCGTTATATTCAAAAACATGCTTTAATCGTTTATGTTGACCAAGCCCGATCGCTTATGTTGCTCGATACGGGCACCGTGGACATTCAAAACAATTAGGGACGGAGGGGGATCCACGGCTCGGAAAACTGTGGCTATTATAAATTTTAATTCGAAAGTATTCGTCAAGCGTTAATTTTAGTAGGCTCCAGAGTTTTGATGTTAAACATCTATTTAGCCAAAAACTACATGAGAATTTATTTATTTGACTAGTGTAGTTGATAGTCTCCAAATTTCTAATTTTATTATCTAAACTATGTCCGCATTTTAGGCTGCTAATATGACAAACCAATCCATTAACCCAAATACGATTAGTAACAACGTCTATGATGGGTTTATTGATAAATGTTAAAGGCGATTCAGATGATTTCTAAATTCAAAAGATATGAAGATATAGTAAAACGTATGTACGGGTCAGGTTAACATGCAGGTAGGTTGTTGACGTATATGACAATTTAAAAATAATGAACATCACCAGAGAAATAATTTTAAAGCTAAGACTGCTTATGAAACTTCAGGCAGGAATATGACGCGTTATAAACATTCCATAAAAAGTTACTGCATTTAAACTAGGGACATTTGCAAATGTGTCAAAAGCAACTGGAAAATATATACATGTTAAGTACAAAAAAATCATCCTGTAAAATAGTTGAACTCGCCTGGGTTATTTTTGAAAATTAGGTTATTTAGTGGACGACATATATAACGTCATTCGTGAGTAGTAATGATCCAAAAGCATCCAGAATAAAACATGCAGTATGGCAATCACTTCCAGGGTGCTTGATGCCGTTGACGTTTTTGTCACTCGCTCGGATCAGAACAATGGAATGAATCCAGATAATTGTGTGGTTGCCATTGAGTGAGTCATCCCAAATGATTGCAGAGAACTTATAGCTGAAACTCACCGTATGTTTTTGGAGTAGTGTCCCTGTTGTTTGACAATGGAACTCGAGAATATGAAATTAGGCAGGCAGTGGTCGGAAGAAAAGATATTACAGGATAGTGCGTAGTTTAAAAACAGGATGAGGTGTTAAGTGAAGGAACACTAAGAATTAGATCCAGATAACTATCTAGTCCTTGATCGCATCACGTTATTCTTAGATAGAGCTAGATGTTTAAACAAGTTTATTCCGTAGAAGCATGTAAATGCTATTAAAGCTTGTTAATGAACCATCAAAGCTAATTGATATAGATAACCGGTTATTGGTATCGATTGTTAGTATGTTATGAGTAATAATCAATATAACATTACGATAATACATGTGAGCATTAATCAGAGGACTATTAGAATACTGGGTTAACATAAATATAAAATCGATCGAGAAGGTTAAAGTGGAAACAAGGATTTAAAGCAATTAGTCCCTTTTATAAATTTCGATAGAACAATGAGAAGACGTAGTTGATCTGAAAAATGTGATGTATTTGCGCTATACATTTCGAACAATCTGGTCACACATATACTTGTCAAGGCATTTTTATATGAAAATTAATAAAGGTCAAACAAACAAATAAAAGTACAACTGAAATAACTAAGGGGGGAGAAAGAATAAGAAATTGTCGCGTTATCCTAGGCCATAGAATGACTTAAGGATTACCAAGGTAAATTCAAGGTTACGACAAATTGTTTTTGTACACATAAGGGGGGTTTAAATTTACGAATAGCTAAGGCTTCAATAAACTTAAGAATTCAACCTTGACAATTTCTATACAACATTCTAATTGCTGTATTAATGTTAATTTTGTGCCCCGTCTCAATTATGTGTTTTGCTATTGATGAACTTGGTTTTCTACCTCCTACATTGATCGGATCATTTGACACACAATGATTTTGAAGCCATCTGGGTACATGTTCACTGACCCTTGATTGCATTGTTCGATTACTCCTCCCTATGTATGTGTGTCCACACAAACATGTAAATTGGTAAATACAATGGGATGTGACGTAATCATTAGTGCATTGTTTGGGTCTATTATGAATCATGGCCTTAGACTTTTCAATCACTACCAACTGAGCAGCATAATACGTATTCTCAATGGCTGCTTTCAATCTGTACCTTAAAACTATACTGTTTGATTCGCCTCTATATGGTAGATTGATGTAAACCTTTTTCTTTGGCACTGAATAAATTAGAGGTCTTGGCATTAATTGACTTTTGCACCTATTAATAAACTTGAGTGGATAACCATTTACTATTAAAGTGTCAGTCAGTAACTTTTCGTCTTTTTCCACCATATCAGAGGAACATATTCTTCGAGTCCTCTTAAAGAGGCACTTAACTAGACCTCTCTTGTATTGCAATGGACAGAAACTATGGAAATTTAGGTATTGTTCCGTCCAAGTTGGTTTCCTATACACGGACCGTCTAATAGTGCCATCATCCCTTCGACTTAAAAGTATGTCTAGAAAGGCTAATTGGCCGTTACTTTCTGGTTCATGTGTCATCACAATATCATTTTGAACACCATTGAGTTTATCCAGTAATCGATCGAAATAAGGATTATTGGTAATAGGTTGTGTTTCTTTAGTCGGGCCTACCAATGTAGAATTATGGTCTACTATGATATTAGTACTGCTCTAATAATAGACCTAATCCTAAAATTGTAGATTTGTCATGATATAACTGCCTAATCTATAAGATCTTACGTGGAAGTCACATCATCGTCTACACCAGCCGTTGGGTTAATAACTTAACTCATACGTGGTATGTATTTTGTGTTTAGAAATATTAAAAGTAATCAATATTGTAGAAATGTTAATATTAGTATTAGTTTTGGTTTAAATTATAAAATCAAATAACGTTCATGCTAGTAAGTTGTCCATGAGTTGATTTTCAATTGCATTTATATTAGTAGGCTAACTGAAGGAACAAAAGTATTACCGTGGAGAAGAATTCCAACTAGTGTTCCAGTTAGTTTGATACGGTTATTTAGTTACGGGGAGATTTTCTCAACCTCATTTTTACTTGACCGTGATAGAATTTAGTAATACTACTAATACACATGAATGGTTATCAAAACAAAATTTAAATACGTGAGTGATAATTATATGAATTTTGGACAGATAGCTAAGAACAAATCGTTAAACATGAGTGTATTCGTAAGAGACATACTCTAGACTCAATGTTCTGAGTTGCCATAGACTATTTATACATATTTATACCTGACCGCTGATGATGCATACAAGTTAGTTGCAAGTATGCAGTTTATCATAAGGCGGAATACGATTCAATTGAGATATAGTGATTATAAGTTACTGAAATCAGTTAAGTCTATATACTGCATTACTAGGTGATGTGCTGCAAGATGTATTCAGCTAAATAAGTTTTTACAAGATAATTAACAGTGAGTGACGCTCATGTGGTTATCAGAGAGGAAACAAGTTGTAACCAAGGAGAGTACACTCCCAACTCATGTCTATGATAATGACTTGAACCTTAGTCAGTGTTGGGGTAAGTCGTATAAGTCATGTTTATAGATGTAAGAGTTCATCTCGTCTATTTTATCTTTGATATATTGGTCTTTTGCTAACTTAATTTTATTGTTTACAATCTTACTGGCTTGAGTAGAGAGGTTTTCATTAAGCGCGGTAGCGTGTAGCAGAAATAAAGGTATTGTAAAGAGAACGTCAAGAGGTTAATATTGAAGTTAACTGATACGGAGACTAATAATGATAAAAAGACTAATATTAATAGTAATACTAACAATAATCAAATTACAGTATTAATAAATGCCGGACCA